GCCCTTAAACTTTGACTTCAGCTTCCCCAAGGGTGGGGGGGGGTACATTTATAGCTGTTAATTAATAGCAGTTCATTAGCCGTCTTCTTGCTTCCCAGCATCTCTGGCTTTCCGTCGTTGCCTTTAGGGCTGGACACCGAATCAGGTGGATCTTCTCCATTTCCTCCTGTAGGTTACATAGGGGGCATGTGGGTTGAGTGTATACTCCCAATCTGTGAAGGTGTTTTGCCAAGCAATCGTGTCCGGTACGTAGTCTAAACTCAGCAACAGCTTCGATTCTTGGCCAGTCGGTTATATCGGAGAGTGCCACTGTCCACTGTTTTGCCTTTGTTCGAGCTTTAAGTTCGTTACACCTTGAGGTCTGGAATTCTCTTCTGATTAAGGCCTTCATTGTGTGGAAAGACATCGGCCGGTCTATGCATTGCAAAATCGTTGTCCCCTTCTTAGCAAGTGTGTCAGCAAGCTCATTACCTCTAATGCCGCAGTGACCAGGAATTTATTAAGTCTATAAATAATTTAAATTTAAAAAAGTACAAATTCTCACAATTTCTGTTATTTTTGTGTTTTTTTTCTAATCATATTATCACTAAATTAAGTGATTGCTGATTATAGTCAGTGACATTGTTTAACCAGACAGCTTTTTCATTCAATGAAATTTAAATTTGGGAGTAAGTGGTTTTACAATTGTTCAGGTACAACCGCAGTTCTAAGAGAAGTAGTAACAATAAAAAATATTGTATTTTTGAAAAAAGCAAGTAATGTTTGTTTAGGTGTCTTTGATGAAGGTTATTCAAATTATTTGATTTTGAACCAACAGCACGATCACCTTATGATGTCATTCAAATCATGTTAAACAGTGGAGTGTTTGTTTTAGTTTATTTCGCCAACAAATTGCCGTTTTTTATTACCAAATATACCAAGGTCGATGGCTGATGTGGATGAAAATTATCCTGCTAATTTTTCATCAATCCTGTTTCCAAATGAAAGCTTGGCTCCTTCAACCGCTTCTCCACAATTTGAGGTTTCTACTTGCAAAGGTGATCTAAATTGTCTCGAAATATTTACTTGTTCCCACTATTCATTCTATAATAAATTATTCAATTCATTATAACAGACATGTATATAGAGTATTCATATCGGATTTAATTCGATTTATATGCTTTACAGAACTATTTGCGCAACTCTAAACTATAAGTATTGGTAAAATTTAACATTATTAAATACTTTAGTCCATATAGGAATGGAAATATGATCATTAAATGATTTACTTCAAGAAGCTTTATTCTGTTGAATACAGCAGTTAATTGATGTAAGTAGGAGCTGTCTTTGAACAGATTTGTTCATATTTATAATTTGATCATAATTAGTCATCACATCAATGGATGGACATTGATGAGCGGTGAAGCCATAATCCATTTCTAGACAAACATAAATGTGGAACATTCTCTCAGAGAAAAGTAGCACTGGAGAACTACATTGAGTTCGAATATGGTTAAATTCAAGACATGAAAATGAAGAGAACAGATAGTCCACTTCGGCGATAAAGGCAAAGAGGTAAACACAAAAGTTGCTTTATTGAAAGTCTTTGTTTTTACATATTTACTAAGGCAAGGAAAATATTTGTGTGCAAACTTTAACAATCGACTAATTTCCTGCAGATACACCCAAAATGCAAACTCAGGGTTTCGCCTCAACAACAATCAGCGATGCTATTGAAAAGAACCCAATTATTAGTGATTCTGATGGGCAGTTGATTCAATTCTTGCATTCCGATTCAACCGGGGCAGAACTTCAAATGATAGATGATCTTATTGACTCTCCCGAACAATTCCTCACGCTACCTTCCGAAAAACAAGCATTTGTTCTCTATTGGATCATGTACATTTGCGAATTTCTTTATCGAGATATTGAGAAGGGTACCGTTCCACCTGGAATCATGCAGAAATTCGAGGTGAAGGGGAGAAGTTACGAAGAATATCGCACCGATTTGCAATATCTACTCCATGCTGTCAACGGTGAATTTCCTGGAGTGCTACAAATCTATCGTGACATTACTAGCACTTATCTCAAAAAGACCACGAGTAAATGAAATATGTTTGGACAATATTTAAGTAGAATTTTCAAAAGATTTTAGTTTTCTGGAATTAAATATGACAAATATTCAAAACGATGGAACATATGCAATAGTGCTGACTTATTCCAAACATACTCATCACATGCATGCAAATAGGTTGAACTAAACCTATGTAACAAAAGAACTTAACAATTTTTTATATAACAGGCGACACGTTTAAAATATTCGAGCATGTAATTTTATCTTAAATTTCAATTAAATCCTCATTTTTCTACCTAATGAGGGCAAACGTAAAATCAGAGCTCGGTACATTGTGGAATACTGGAAGCATAAAGCAGTGACAATGAATGAGAGTTGTTGTTGTTAGTATTTATCTTTAAAAACTTTCATAAACTATATATAAATACTTAAATCTTAATGAATTTTCTTATAATTTTCAAATTATTATTAACTGACACTGACAAGTTCGCTCTATCTCGAAAAGTAATGCCCACATTCTAACTTGGCCTCTGGTTTAACTGTCAGTTATACATCAGCACACAAAGGACGCTTCTTACAATTCAAATAGTTCTCATTTTTAACTGACGCTTTTCTCATTCATCATTCATTCTCATCGAATTCCAGTTATTCTATTAAACCCTGGCATTTGTGTTGGTGATAGGATCTTCGTAAGATTTGAGGGGAATATCATATCGTATTCAGCTATCCAAAGTAGAGTTGCGCTATGGATTAATTCCACTTTAGACGAAATTAGTCAAATCATAACCTGTATTTTATAATTTTATGACTTCCAAAGGGCGTTACAACTTTATTGTCAGTTGAATTTTAATTGTGAGTTGGAAGGCTTTATTTTAAATTCATATCAAAGTGCTTTATCTACTGCTTTCAAGATATTGATATTAATTAATATTGAGATCTAAAACCTTTATTTCCATTGATTTAATCAACGGTTTTAACATCACTTATGCAATACGCCTCAATGTATTGAGTTCCCAATGCAAACAATATTCACTCACATGGTCAAATGGTTAGTTGATACATATATATATATATATATATATATATATATACATATATTAAATGACGGGCTTTATAACACTTATCATTAGCCCTTTAGCTGACTTCGGGCTTCACAGAGAGGAGGAACATCAATAGCGGCTTCACAGAGAGGAGGAGGAACATCAAAGTGAGAAAAAAGTGAAGAGGGGGAACAGAAGAGTGATTCAAAGGTGTTAAAGAGAAAGACAGACAGACGCAAACGTAGAAAAAAGGTGAGGTGTGTACTGTGGAAGTAGTCGATATGACATGCAGTCGGATCATGGTAGTCTGAAGTCAACTGCCGGTTAATAGAATTTTTTGCCATATGAGTTTAAGTTGCCCAGAGTGCACCACGTGGAGGTAAGTCTATCGCGCACCCCGCATTACGAACTTTCACACAAGGAAGGTGATGCTCAATGCGTATAAATAGAATTGATTATTATTATTATATCAAATGGCAGGCGTTTTGATTGTTATCATTAGCCCTTTAGTTGATTTCAGTCTTCACAGCGGGGAAGGAACATCAAAGTGTAGAAAATTCAAGAGGGGGGGGGGAACAGAAGAGTGTATCAAAGACGAAGGTAGATAAGGTGGAAAAAAGGTGGGATGAGTACTGTGAAAGTAGTCGAATATGACATACAGTGGGGTCATGGTAGTTTGAAGTCAACTGCCAGGTAATAGACTTTTTTGCCGTATGAGTATACCTTGCCCAGGGTGCACCACATGGAGGTAAGTGTATCACACACCCCATAGAATTGATTATAAGCGGTGATTAAACTTCGCATTTACAGTAATAAAATACACGCATAAAAAAAATTTGTGCCAAAACTATCAGCAAACAATGCACTATGTCCTATATTAAATATTTTTCATTAATGGTGATTATAATATATACAATTCAAATGAAACGGACACATTGATAGTTGGAATTTAGTGTTTGTGACTGCTATAACTAAAGTGACATATTGAACAAAAATAGAATTGTAAAAAGGAATTTTAAAGGCAGCATGATGTCAAATATTCTTTTAAAAATCATTTATACAACTTTTTTTTTGTTTCTACTCCTATTCATGCCTAAAAAGCCCTTATTTCTGCTTCGTCGAGAATTCGCCTAATTCGTTTTGACTTTTTTGCTGCTTAGAGGTTTATATAACATGGACAGGAAGATTAACCTTTGCAAATTAATTGGATTGATTCGAAACCCATTGTTGATGGGAAACTTTGTGTATTTTTTTTGGAAATAAAGTTTACAATGCATATGAATTACACAGAGGTAATTTTAAACCAAATTCGTTTGACATTTTAATTATAGCCACGTAGACTGCTTACACAAATAGTGTGATATTTCGTAACGAAAGCAAATACTCGTTATCATTGATTGCAGATTACTTAACACTACTCATACTAATCCGTTACAGCTATTTGTTGGTCAAAATAGATAAAATCAAACACCTACCATTCGAACACATGAACCAGTTAGAATCTATTCCTTCAATTATTCAGTTCTGCTCTGTTTGGGCGATTCTAAAATACGCAAATTCTCCCTCACCTGTGGAGCACAGCGTTGTTACCATTGGACTAAGTAATCCCATGCGCACCCAGACAGGATTGAAGGTGCGACCGTGCAACGTCGCGTACGGAGTAGGGACGGTCGTGATCGCAGAGAACACAGCCAACCGCCAATCACTAGTCCTCGCTTGGTTTATGTAACCCGCTATATTAATATAATGGCTAATCTCCTTGTCATGAGGTACACACAGCATACCCCCACCTACTCCCCACATTCCAAATAAAAGTATTCCGTGTGATACGTCTGTTTCCACTATAACTTTCCGGTGGCTTAGCTAATCTTGAAGTCTTCCAAACATAGAAGCATCTGCCAAAGAGATTTCTGAGTGTAGTCAAGGTTTAATAGTGTGTCAATCCGATACATACCCCATAGTTGTTCTTAATGCAATAATACCATTAAACAAGCATGATTAAGGGAAATATACATTGATAATTGCTACCATATACTTTAAATGACAAATTCGAGTCCCTTTGATTGAATTCTATGGAATATGGAAGGCGAGGTATAGAGTGCACACAAGTTGAAATACGTTTAAGGCTCTAAATCAGGTTTTTTATTTGTGTGGGTGCGTCATAACGTTTGATGAATAATAAATAACACTGTCTTATGTTCAAAAAAAGACACTGTTCCCAAAAATTGTCAAATGTCATTGAAATAGTTAAACAATTTCACAAACCATAATTTCTATTTACCTTTATATTGGAAAATTTAGATATATGCAATTACTTTTGTGTCTCATTTTGTTTGGCATGAGCATAAGGAGAGAAACGTAGCGTCTCAAGGAATTTACCTGGGAGTTAATTACCTTGACCTTACACCAACTTTAAAATGTTTGACCTCATGACTCTTACTGAGCTCATAGTGGTATTTGAACCTCTTTGTGCTATAATGACTTTATGTCTCGTCAAGTGGCTTTGTTCAGTAAGCGGAATAAACTACTACGGTTAATTTTCCCATACCACCAATGTTGGGGTCTGTTTTCCATATGTTCACGCTAATTCCTCTCAATGGTACGTAATAGGGCTACTTTGATATACAGTTACAGGCACTCAGACATGTGGGTCATCATTTTCGTTTGCGTTCTGCTTGATTGGGACTATGATTACCTCCTGCTACCTGTTAAGGCTTTGTCCTATCTCCCAAGTTGCCAATTGTGATCCACATTTTCAACAAATTGTTCATATGCGAAAATAAGGATCGCGTTTTCTAATAAAGGAAATTGATCCATTAAAAATGACTCTAGGTTCCCGAATTTTTGGTATTGCATGTTAGGGAAGGATTTTGATTATTATTTCCAACACTGGAGAAAAGGGTATAAGGTGATTCAGACGGATAAACCCGCCAAAATCGAAGGAACAATTTCAAGTTAATGGCATCTATTCCTAAGTCTCAACCTCCTAACCGCCCCCCCCCCTCCCTAAAATTATCCATCAAGTTTTGCACTTCTTTAGCAAAATAAACTTGAATATACACTCTTTATCATAAATTTATTTATATCAAATGGCAGGCGCTTTGATAGCAATCATTAGTCCTTTAGTTGACTTCAGGCTTCACAGAGGAAGAGGAACATCAAAGTGAAAAAACGTCGCGAGTTGGGAGGAGAAAAAGAAGAGTGTTTCAAAGATGTAAATGAGACAGACACAAAAGTAGAATAAGGTGAGATGAGTACTGTGAAAGCAGTCGAATATGACAAACAGTGGAGTCATGGTAGTTAATAGACTTTTTTTTGCCTTATGAGTATACGTTGCCCATGATGCACCACGTGGAGGTAAGTCTATCGTACACCCCTCTTTATCATAAATAAATACTAACTTATGCATATGTTACCAAGACGAGTACTGAATTTGGGAAGTAATAGTGCATTCACAGATCCAAAAGATGGCACTTCGTTGTCAATGTATTATTGTTTGCGTATAATCAATTAATTTTTGAAAAAAGGAATGTAGGTAAAATTAATACTGATAGTTGAACTACTCCGCATAATGAAATTATTTCCGATTCCATTTTCTAATCACCACTAATTATTTGAAGAGGTCTCTAGTGAGCTTTATCAGCCTGGACTCATGTGAACCATGGGTGTGGAGCTCTTTAATAGTTATCAATTTCAAAGTGAATTTTGATCATTGTGAAATCAATTTCCGCAGAATTTTCGCCTATCGCTTCCACCATATATATATATGCTCGGAAGCTATTCAGTAGTTTAACCTGTGGAAATGACACTTTAATTTTGATATTTATATTTATGCTCTTCAGCTCGAAGATTGATGAAAAGGTTGAGGTGTTATAGAACCTATTTAAAAATGAAATCTAAATTAAATCATGACAAATAAATACTTAATTGATGAGGAATAGTGTTAAACAGCTTAGTTGTCAAATGTTGGCAATGATAATGATTGAGGAGTTTACT